CCCACCCACACCCACACCCACCCACACCCACACCCACACCCACTCACATCCACACCCACACCCACTCACACCCACACCCACACCCTTTTGAATGTTGATTCAAAGAGTTTGGAAAATAAATCAAATTCTAGAAGATTCGCTTTTTTTCTTTTTTACAAAATGCGATATTAATTTTAACAGTACTTGAGATATTGGGTGTGGATGAAGAGGTAACAGCTCCCACACCTACACCCTATGTCTAATAATGTATTTAATTGATTATTAAGATAATATTCATAGCAAATATATATAATTTTAATTTCTTTTAAATCATGATAAGATTGATGAATAATTCAAATAAGTTAAATAAAGTTGTTTCGCCCATTGATTAATTCAATATTGAATATAGTTTTCAGATTTGAATAAATTTCAAAAAAGAAAATTCCATGATCTATCTACCTTTTTATTTTCTATAATAGATATTAAATATTTCTTTGTAATTTTTAATAATTTTATAATAACATTCCTTGATTAAAAAGTTTTCGAGTTTTTTTTAATGTATCATTTGATGTCGAAGATGCACAAAAAAGAAATAAATAAATCAAATAATATTGATGAATAATAAGATATTAACATTTTTGAATATTTCCTTTGTTTTAATTGAAGTAATATATTAATTAAATTTGTATAATTTGTTATTATTCGTTGTTGTAAATCAATAAAAAAACGTTGAATTATTCATATTCGATAATAATCTGTAAAATGGATATAGATGATGGATTTTTAAAATTTGTTTTGTTAAATGTATCCTATTTTCAAATAAATCTATAAGCAACATATCCATACATGTAAGAAGTCATATGTATTTATTCGAATAACTCTCTTCGATATGTAATAATAAACGTGACAACAAAATCAATTGCTTTGTAGATATTAAATAAGAATAAACAATACATTCATAAATAATATCCATTAGAATTTTATCATTCGCAATAGATATAATTCATTTATGTTGTCGATATTATTCAAATAGTATCTTTGAGTCTTTTCAATATTTGTTTACATGATTCTAATTTGTAGTTGTTATTGACGAAATTTTATAAATAATTTTGATCTGGATCATTTTCTTCTTTTGCTTCGAAAAAAAAATAAACATTTAAATGTGGACAAAACCTTTTTTGTATTTACATAGGGCAGTCAAAAAGTAATGGCAATGGTACTTTAGTTTCTTATAAGAAACTTTAAAAACCTTTCTTTCTATATAGTCTGACAGAGAAAAGAATGCTCTATTTTTCTATGCTATTTGATTATACTTCAACTAATCTAATGATAATAAATTTTCAGTAAGACTTTTTTCGTTACCATATCTATACTGGATGTAAGTTTGCATTGCAGTTTTCAGCCCCTTAATACATCGTATCAACAATCAAAATATACTATAAGATGCAGCGTGAAAAGCTCTACAATCTTCACAGTAAAGCTTATTGTAACTGTCTTCATAAAAAGGAAAATGCTGTGATACCAGTTTTCGCAATGCCCAAAGTTCGGTCCCTTAAACCTTTGTGTATTTTGAAAACAAAACAGTGTAACTAGAAAATAATTGGTCTTATATAAAATGTAGAGTTTTTCACGCTACATCTTATGGTATATTTTGATTGTTGATACAATCTATTAAGAGACTGAAAGTAATCTGTCTCTTCCGTTGGCATCCAGCAGACATGATAACGAAAAAAGTCTTACTGAAAATTTATCATCATTAGATTAGTTGAAATATAATCAAATAGCATAGAAAAATAGAGCATTATTTTCTCTATCAGACTATATAGAAAGAAAGGTTTTTAAAGCTTCTTATAAGAAACTAAAGTACCATTGCCATTAATTTTTGACTGCCCTATGTATATAATAATTTCTTACTGAACAATATATGTCACTACTACTACTTACAAAAATTTGAGAATAAATTGAATAAATAGGATCATCTAAATATTTATCATATAACGTAATTTTTTGTTTTTTTTAAATTGGATGAATTCTATGATAAATCGTCAGTGGAGAATTCATTCTCAATCATTTGAAAAATATAGATGATATAAATCATTGTGCTGATGAAAGTGCTCTAAATAAAATATAGATTTATAATAGAATAATTAGTTTTTTTTCAATAATAATAAATACAATAAACTATTTGTAAAAAAAACAAAAAGATGCAAATTTACTTTCTTATTGATATTCGATTTTTCAATCATATTTATTATTTATTAAATAAGGTTTTTTCAAGTGTTTTTAATTGTATTATTGTTTTACAATCACATTCAATAAAATGACACTTAATTGTGATCTTGACAATTCTAATGTCTCGTTCTCTCTTATGAAAAATAAAATGTGAGGGAAAAAAGAAATAAAACAACGACGACGACCGGACGATTTATTTTTTCTCGTCCATAATTATTATGATCTAATTATTATTTGAACGAGAGAAAAAAATGTATTGAAATGTTTATAAAAATGAATGATTTTCGATTAAAAAATCATTCAATTATTTGAATCATATTCCAACCTTTTTCTTTTATATTTTAGGTTACTTCTCCAAGATTCAAAATTAATCAATTCAATATCAATACAATATAATACAAATAAAACTAAAAATGTAAGTATTAGTTTTCAATTTTTCTTTTTTTTTTCTTAAAGATCATTTTGAAGGTAGTAAGACTTCGGTTGATCTTTTTATATTTTAGGTATTGGTCTCAACAACTCAAAATTAAATCAAGTCAATATGAAAACAAGAAAATAAAATGTATATATCATTGTTCACTAATTCTCTTTCTATACGGATTAATTTTCTTTTTTTTTCGTTTCAGCCATTAACATTGTCAAGAAGGGTGTGGGTGTGGGTGGGTGTGGGTGTGGGTGTGGGTGGGTGTGGGTGTGGGTGTGGGGTGGGGG